GATACGGCCAAGTACTTCCCCCTTCAAATCTCCAGTGCTATTTGTACCGAAGAAGGGGGGAACATTGAGGATGTGCATTGATTACAGAGGCCTCAATGCCATCACAGTGAAGAACGGAGAGCCTCTACCTCGCATAGACGACCTATTGGATAGGGTGCAGGGATGTAAGTACTACAGCAAGATAGACTTAAAGTCCGACTACCATCAGATTGCTATAAGACCTGAGGATCAGCACAAAACTGCATTTCAGACCAGATACGCTCTGTACGAGTTTGTGTTGATGCCCTTTGGCCTTTGCAATGCGTCGGGTACATTCCATCACGCCATGAATAGGATCTTCCATGACTACTTAGATAAGTTTGTCGTCGTGTACCTCGACGATATTCTCATCTTCAGTAAGTCTGTCGAGGAGCATGCACAACACGTAGAGACTGTACTATCACTCCTGCGACAGCACAAGTATAAGGTCAACCTAGAGAAATGTGAGTTTGGACGCACTAGGATCTTGTACTTGGGTCATGAGGTATCCGCGGAGGGAATTAGGCCGGAAGATGCGAAGGTGGCTAGTATCAGGGACTGGCCACGACCTCAGACTGTTCCTGAGGTCAGATCTTTTTTAGGGATGTGCGGGATGTGCGGCTACTATAGGAACTTTGTGAAGAACTATTCCACAATCGCCTTTCCTTTGACTGATCTAACTCGACTTGACACGCCATGGGACTGGAGTGATGAGTGCGAGGCTGCTTTCAAACGATTGAAGCATGCACGCATGAAGCATGCGGTTCTCATGGTGCCCGATCCTCAACAGCCTTTCATTGTGACCACTGACGCAAGCCAATACGACATTGGCGCAGTGCTGGCTCAGCAGGATGGGAAGAAGTTGAGACCGATTGAGTATATGAGCAAAAAGATGCCATCAAAGAAACTGGCAAAGTCCACCTATGAAAGGGAACTCTATGCTCTCTACAAGGCACTTGTCCATTGGAGGCACTTTCCGTTGGGACGGTTTCTCTATTTGAGAACTGACCATCAGACCCTTAAATGGATCAAGACTCAACCGGCTCTTTCTAATGCAGTCAAGCGCTGGGTTGAGGTCATAGATCAGTATGACTTCGTGCTGGAGTATCTGAAGGGAGAGTACAACAAGGTTGTAGATGCGCTATCACATAGGGCGGACTACCTAGGGGCGCTAGTTTCTGAGTTTGGTGTATCTGAGAAAGTAACTCAATCGTTGGTGGGAGCCTATCAGGAAGACCCTGTCACGATGGACATCATACGCAAACTTCAGGCGAAAGATAAGGTCACATAAGATGAGTTTGTGATGGTGGACGGGCTGCTCTTTCTTGATAAGGCCGGATTTAAAAGATTAGTTATTCCATCTAGTAAGCATTTGCGCAGTTTATTTCTAGGAGAATGTCATGACTCAACTGGACACTTTGGCTACAAAAAGACCAGTGCCAATCTAGTACAACGATTTTGGTGGCCCGGAATGTTAGATGATGCAAAGAAGTATGTGGAGACCTGTCATGTCTGTCAGCGGGACAAGCCGCGAACTCAAGCACCGCTTGGGTTGCTGAAGCCCTTACCTATCCCCGCTGGTCCGGGACAGAGTGTTTCCATGGATTTCATGGACACCCTGGTGACCAGTAGGAATGGCAAGAGGCACATCTTTGTCATCATAGACCGATTCACCAAGTACGCTAGACTAATTGCCATGCCAGAGACCGCAAGGACTGAACACATCATCAAGTTGTTTATGGACAATTGGGTGCGTGATTTTGGACTGCCAAAGTCAATCGTTAGCGACAGAGATGTCCGCTTCACAAGTGAGCTATGGAATAAGACTGTTGAGCAATTGGGCAGTCAACTTCAGATGACCTCCGGGAATCATCCCGAAGCCAACGGACAGGCCGAGCAGATGAACAGAGTTGTACAACACCTGCTGAGGCATTACATCAAGCCCAGCCAGGATGACTGGGATGAGAAGTTGCCTCTCATCGCCAGCCTGTACAACAACGCTGTACACAGCAGTACCGGCGTCAGTCCTAATCAGCTGCACTTGGGATGGAAGCCTAGATCAGCTCTGGACTTCCTCCTGCCTGAAAACCGACCCTCTGCAACTCCGGGCACACTTGAGTATGGTGTGCAGTATGAGAAGTTGCTACAGCAAGTTGTCGAGCACATCAGGAAATCTCAACAAGCAATGATTGCTTCTGAGAACAAACATCGTCGACAGTCCTCATTTCAGGTAGGGGAACGTGTCTGGGTCAGGGCTAGTGAGCTAGGACAGGAATTCGGTATCTCTCGAAAACTAATGGATCAGCACTTTGGTCCCTGGGAAGTCCTGGACATAGTTGGGGATGAGATGGATGGTCCTTCCTATGTTATCCGTATCCCTGGTCACCTGCGCACACACCCTGTGTTTCATGCCTCAAAGCTTGCACCTTTCGCTGAGATAGATCAATTTCCTTGGATGACCACGTGTTTCAAGCCACACCTGCGCACACACCCTGTGTTTCATGCCTCAAAGGAGATCAATGCTGCCCCCAACCATGGATGGCCACGTGGACATCGAGGACATTCTGGATCACAAAGACATGCCTGTTCCCAGACCTCTTGGCAGAGGAAGACCTCCAAAACCCAAGAGAGAATACAGAGTCAGATTCAGGCATCACACAGATCCGAAAGAAGATCGGTGGTTCACCAGAGAGGAACTGATTGAAACAGCACCTCAAGTGGTGGCGGAATATGAAAGACAGCTAAAGGGGAAGGCACCTGCGAAGTAAGCATCTCAGCGGACTTTCGAAGCTAAAGGGGATGGAATGTGAGGATGGAGCCCTCAACGGGGCCTTGCCGACATGCATATGTTCTGGGCATAGGCCCCCAGCAAGCCTCGTGCCCGCCCTAAGTGAAGGCGAGCCAGAATATCCACGAGAGACCTTCATTCAGCATTTCACAAAGTGGGTATCAGACAGTTGCCGCACGCCAGTTGGTTGGAGTGCATCGTGACCCT